ACCAATGTCTAAAGCAGGCCAGCCAATTTGTATGGATCGATTTTTTTCGACATCGTAACTAGCAGATTCGGATTCTACGTAAAATTCTAAGAAAAATATTCGTCCAGACCATATCTCTAAAGTTAATTTCGAGCCTGCGCCATTTTAAAAGAAGATATCTTTAATTGATGTTAAGTTAATATGCAGATTAATATTTAGTAAACAAATTACGAACGTTATTTTTTTAATACAAATTTGTATTTGGGGATTTTTGATACGAAGAATTAAGTTTTGATATCTATTTGGTATTTAAAGAACCACAAGACGGCGCGTCAAAAATAGGGGTAAGCTTACAATAATTCGCATAAAGCTGAAAATTGGTACGAATGTTGCGAACACTATTATGAATGAAATTTCAAAGGTCACCATCGATCCCACGTCTGCAAAAGAAAGTTATTCAAGGTCAAAGGTCAAATAAATTGATTTTTTTTTACATTTTCCAGCAATACGGTAAGGTTTATCATAAAAATAGGTGTAGATCATACAATTATCTACTAAAACTGTTATAACATTTTTCTTCCTAAGGCTTACCATTTCTGAGATATAGCGATCAAAATTGTTATAAAAGGTGTGTACTCCATAATATGCAAACCATAAATTTGTATAGAAACTTTTTGTATGTATCACTACTTACGTGCTCATAACTTCTATGTTTATTATTCAATTTAGATGAGCACGGCCTTATTGTATTAATAAAGAATCATGCTTTGACGTGCAAGAATCCAAAAGTTAACAAGTTCTTGCATGTTGATATTTTTACCGAAAGTAACTTTTTTAGCTCCTAACCTACTAATCCGTTTGAAAAATATCGTGTATGCAGAAGATAGTAATTTTGATGTGCTTCACAATTAAGTGAGTGCACTTTTTCACATCTCTAAAAACTGAAATTTAGCTATATCTCAAAAACTGTTGCAGTTTATTATATTTTGACTATGTATTCAGATTCAGTGGAAAATTTTACATGACAGGTAACCCCCATTTTTCTCCATGAGTATGCGATTTATTTCATATATGTCCGTACCAGCTTCATGAACATGAAGACATATGTAGTATGAAAAATTCTGTTTGTATGGGAGGTGCCACACCCTATTTTCCAATAGCTCCAATTTTTCTCCATATAACCCCATACCAAGTTGCAGTACTCTACCATGAATACTTCCAGAGATATGCAGTTTGAAAAACTGGGTTTGTATGCCGCCTTTATATATCTAAATATTTTTCAGCCTATAACCATTCTTGGAAAGTCTGCAGTAGGTGTCCAAAATTTCAAAAAAATCGGTGGAGCCTTTCTCGAGATTTGCGAACAGAAAAAACGGCTTCAAAATATGTACATACAACGACGAGCAAAACTGTAACATGGTGTAACACTTTTTATTTCAGTCGCCGCTATCTTTCCAAGTTCTAACGATATTCATACCTTTGTTGTATATTCTTATTGGTACACCTGTACTTCCTCTCTCATAAAGATATGAAGTAAATCCAACAACAATGATAAAAGCAGCAGACAAAAATGTAAATTAAGGCACATGTTACAGTATTGCACTTATATACTTCTAATAACTTTTTGACAATTTTCACGAAAAAAAAAGAATTATTTACACAATTTTCAGTAACCTTTTGCTTTTTTAGTTCCTGGGTGCGATTTGGCATACCTTATTTGTATCTCTGTAAAAATTCTGGAGGTATATCCACCCATATATCCTTAGTTTGCTTTCACAGCCCATATACTCCATTGGACGGACTTGGATACTTAGTAAGCTGTGCTTTTAGTTGATTTCGCAAATTCTCGTTAAGATTCATGTCCGCAGATTGTGGACGTCATTTCAAATTAGCAAATTTTTGCTTTTGTATCCAGTCTTTGCCAACATGTGCAATGTGTTTTGGGTGATTTTTCAGCGGAAACTCATTTTTTCGAGTACATCTTGCAAAGTTTGTTGAAATATGAACACATAGTGTTCCTTACACATATTTCGTTTTAACGGACCAACAAAATTTTTTAAATACAACCTCAAACTATTATTGACCGACCACTGTGATTCACAGTTTGCTTTACATGATGCGAATGGGCTTAATTTGGGTTTTTGATCCAATACCATGCCCGGCCATCTGATTGAAAGCGATTAATTTAGTATTGCCAGACCAAATAACCTTCAACTGAAACTTAAAAATTTATTTTTTATTGCATTCTGAAAGGCCTAACATATCCCAATAGGGAAAGGTCCGGTTTTCGTGCGATGTAGCAAAATGCTGCCACACTCGCACATGTATTTTGATCAAATTTGCTTTTTTCTTCTTTTATGATGCCTTTGCGCTCAATTTGGCACTTCTTCGCAAGGAATGAAACCGATTCAAAATAACGTTCCGGTTTGGGTTTCGGTTTTGCCAGGTGTTTCGGTTTCGGTTTTGGTTTCGTTCTTCAAAATTTATTTCGGTTTTGGTTTCGGTTTCGTTCCGGTTTCGGGTTTTCACAGAAATTTTGTTGATATTATTTAAATCACAATGTCTTAAACGTTGAGGAAAGAAAATCGAAAATTACAGTTCACTGATGATATCAACACTAGGTTCTTTCCCTAACAATCCGGACCGGATTTGGTAATTAGAGAATAAGAGAAACATTTTCTTTCAAAAATGGAACAAAGTTCAGAAGTACGGAAACGCAAAAACCCACATTTCGTGCCCACAAGTCGAGAAACAGCTGATTCACGTTGTTCTTGTTTTTGTCACTTATACCGTGTTCTGACCGACATCGGAAACATGTTTTCGTTGCTAAAACTGGTTTTCGACCTGAAACTTGTGTTTTCGTCCATATAAAATCTGTTAAACGAAAACCAGTTTTCGCTGAAAACTACTTGAAAACTCACTTTCCACTCATTCCAATCGGTGTCTTCACTAGTTTTTTTCGATTATTTATCGAAGTGGAAGTCATATTTTATCATCTTTAATACGCCATTTCGGATTTATTGTTAATTGCCTGGCCAAAGCAAAATAAGAATGAAAGTTAAAGGTTGTAAATGAAAAGAAAATGAAGGAAAAATGTTTTGGTTGTCGGTCCGAACATGGTATTAAATGCACACACTGGGATATTGAATTTTGGTTTCACAAATTTGATTTTAAGTACATAGATTGAAAATACATCAACAGGCCATTCACTTTTCCTTAAAATCACCAAGTAAATGCAAGCAACATGTAAACACAAAACAGCTGATATGCACTTTGACACTTTATCCATTTTTACTCGGAGAAAAATTCCGGGCTGTTTCGGGCAGGAAGAAGAATACACTTACGATCGAATTTTCGCTCTCTATTACCCATTTTGTTGAGTACAGCAATGATTTCTGGGCTATTTTGGACACACGCGGGATCTCGCATTGCGTACGGGAAAGAAACTACTTAAATATAATTAATCGATTATCGATTCATAACAACAAAGCCATCAGCAGATTTTTGCGAAAAGTTACCTTGCCATACTTATTTACTACTTAACAAGAATTTTAGCAAAATGTTGCTGATTTTGGTTAAATAAATCATTTATTTCAAAGAAATTTTTATTTATTATTTCTGTAAATTTCTGGAAACCGATTGAAACCTGTGATTGAAATGGTTTCGGTATCGTTCCTTTTCAGGTCAAGATAACGGTTACGGTTTCGGTTTCGGTTTTGAAAAACGAAACGGTTTTAAACGGTTACGGTTTCGGTTTGGGTTTCGGTTTCATTCCTTGCTTCTTCGCTTCGCTGTCTACTGATTTGCATTAAAGTTTAATACCTTAAGCGCTTCTGTAATAGTGGCTGCATCGCTACTTGCTGCTAAGTTCACAAGATATCGTACCGTAATATTTTTTGACAGACTTCCTTTGTGCTTAGGAACACTTTAGGCTATATTTTTTCTCAGTCTTAACATATTCAAGTGGCAAACTCCAGAGTTTTTTCCACTTTTCCTGCCATCTCGCCTTTCCGCAGTAAATCTATTATTTACATTTATGGTTCCTGATTAACTATATTATTTACTGGTGATCACTTCTTCAATAAATTACAATACAGAAAAAAGTCATCTGGCTTCCAACTAAGTAAAAGATAACTGTAAAATGCAAAACTGTGAGTGAGTGCAAAACTGTAACATTTGCCTTAATTTACGTTTTTCTCTGCTGGTTTTTTTATTGTTGTTGTATTGCCTTCAAATCGTTATGAGGGAGTGAGTAGGGGTGTACCAACCAGAATATATGTACAACAAAAGGATGAAAGTCGTTAGAACTTGGAAATATAGAGGTGCCTGAAATAAAAAGTGTTAAACCATGTTACAGTTTTGCTCGTCACTGTATATACATATTAGTATAGATTTGCTTTGTAGCGCCACCTTGCGGTTCTTTAAATGTAAAATAAATATCAGAAATTAATTTTTTGTATCAAACAATTTCCAAGCACAAGTTTTTATCAAAAAAAAACTAAATCGTAACACTTTAGTAAATATTAATCTGCATATTAACTTAGTATTAATTAAAGACATCTTCTTCTAAAATTGCGCAGGCTCGAAATTAATTTTAGAGCTATGGTCTAAAGGATTTTTGTTCTTAGAATTTTATGTAGAATCCGAATCTGCTAGGGACGATGTCAAAAAAAAAATTGGTCCGCCCTAATGTACATACATAAGTACATTAAACAAAATTGTGTAACTTTTGGTAAATTTTCCTAAAAGATGTAGAAAAAAGGTAGAACATATTTTAGACGGTTATTCGGGACATCGTTTTGCCGAAGTATATGAGTGAGGCGTGTTAAAATGAGCGGTCATTTGCGGTGGCGTTGTTTGTACGCCTTGCGAGGGTTAACATTCAACCACCGCTTTTAGTGTGAGTATACTAAAACAAAAAAGGCAGCATGCCGTTCTCTGCTTTTTTTACATTTCATTTATAACATATTCTGTTAATCTAGTATAATTAATGCTTAATTAAAAATTTATTAAATACTCACTTTGGGAATCAATTACAGGCAAGGTTGGGATGATCTGAGACGCTTCGATCATGTTCCAAAGGACTAGTGCTGTTTCTTTAGACTTGCCCAAAGCACATAAGGTTCGCAAGATGTTTCCTTTTAATAAAAGAGGCACCGGGCAGCTGAGCAAACCTTAAATAAATAAATTTGGTAAATTGCTTTTCTAAACATTTTATTGAAGAACTAGAGTTATATAATTAAAATATTTGGAGCAAAAAATTGGGAACACGCTTATTCTAAGCCTTTTTGTGTTTTTGCTTTAACTTAAATGTAATTTGAATATACCACAGTGGCCGCCAAGCGGCCTAAACAAGGCGTTAAGATTTTTGTCTGTCTATTTGCCAGTGTTCCCAGTCATGATAAAATCTTCAAAAAACCATAAAAAGGTTAATGAAACTAGAAAAAAAAAATTTTCTCTAGAAAAATCTTCATTGAAGATTTTATAACAAAAAATAATAATTTTTTTCTATTAAAATTGTATTTGTTATTAACCGACTTCCAAAAAAGGAGGAGGTTATCAGTTTGTCGGAATATATATATATTTTTTGTATGTATGGTACCGCATAACTTTGGACCACGTCAACCGATTTCGAAAATTCTTTTTGTATCGGAAAGGTAGTGTCTCAGAGGTTCATACTAATCTGGTTAAGATCCGATCATTGCATCATGAAATATATATAGATATATATCTATATATGAGTAGTCCACTTGCAAAGTGCGCTATGTAAAATTTTTTCGATTTTTAGTTTTTGGAGGATTACGTACCAGTATTTATAGTAGTTTCCTGTCCACTAACAACACAGTGCAAAATCTTTTTTATACTCTAAAAAAATAGCATCAAATGTTAACTCTTCTTCCAAAAGTCGCTATCACACTTATTTATAAACTTTCAAAACTATACATCTTCTGATGAACTTAGAAAACTGCTTTAGGTCGTTTAGACTGTTCATGTTATCTTATGTCATGTTATGTTATGTTACAATTTTAAAAGGCTCTTATTTATCCAATTTTTCAGGTAATAATGGAAAAGATTCAATTTAAATGATACTTGTTGTCGTAGTCGTTTTTTTTCAAATTTATGGCTTTCTATTATAAAATCACGTAACGCTGTTTGCAAGTGGACTACTCATATATTTCATATTTTTTTAAGTCGTTTTTTTTTGCTAAAAATTACTTGTACAAAACCTTTTAAATAATCATTTGTGTACAGAATACCACTTAAGGTGGTGGTTTCCAGCTTATTACGATTTTTTTTTTTGTTCAAGTTTATTTGGGAAAAAACTCTCCGCATCTGCGCATGCATCCTCGCTAGATGATGATGTTTCTATAAAGTTAATTATAGAAAATTTTATTTGTTAATTTAAATTTAGAAACAAAAATTACTTACTTTTTTGTTATAACAAAAGCGATCCATACTTTTTATCTTGTGGAAATTCATACAACTGAGTGTGAGCTACACAAAGCCGAGTTTGAGCACGAATTTTGACAGACAAAATCAATCATATTCATAAAAATCAATATTAATATCTACCTGTCGTGCAAGGTAAATTGATGACAAAAACGAAAAGTTTGTTGCCAACCATCACAAAAAAAAATAAATTTTCAAGCGCTGGAAGATATCTTCACTGCGAAGATTTTTTTATGGAGTTTTATTTTGTTATAATTATCTTCACGTGAAGAATTTTCTCATTATTTATGAAAAATATCTTAATTTTGAAGATAAATCTTCACTTCTGGCAATACTGGAGAGGCCGAACAGATTTTTACACGGCTTTTACTTTCGAACCGAATCTTTGGTGCATATAATTTATACAAGCTTCCCTAATGAACAGCTTGGTATGAAAAAAATTGTGGGGTTGCTTAGATTGCCTTTCTGGAGTGCACCTCATATATATGAGCTGCTTTGCAACGTGTTATCTCGAAAGGCGAAAATGTTAGTCGAAGCATAATGATTCAGCAAAAATTAAATTTTACCTGCTTCGCGTTCACCACAAATATAATTACAGGTAGTAACTTACTAACAAAAAAATAATGTAGGCCTTTTTTCACGCAAAGTAGTTAGTATTCCACTGTTTTAAAAAAAATCCCTAATTACACGTTTTTAAAATGTATGAATTTGTATCTATACATATGCTTCCTTCAAGAAAAGCACTTCAGTCTAGTATACTAACAATAAGGGAATATAATTAGAGTCCGACCGATTAACCGGCATCGGCTAGTATCGGCACAAAATTGAGCATCGGCATCGGCGTTTTTTCGCCGATTCTTTGCCGATTATTTGGAATTTCTTTTCATATATTCAGGTGAAGCGACAGACAAGAGCCAACATCAAAAAACATTTGCAGACAGCTCACAAAAATTAATTTTTTTGTTGAAGGTGTTTCACGTTTTTTCCATACAAAGGTATGTTCGACAATTTTCTTTTATATAGAGGACACTGCCAGCAAAAAAAGTTGCTAAAAATTAACTAGATTTTATAGCAGCTTGAAACTTGCACTTTATTATACTCGAATTAAATGGCCTACAAAACTGCACACCAAAATTCTAATTAAAAAGTTTGAAATTTTGGTGAAGATATGCTGAATTTTTCTAATTTTTGTACAAACTTTGAAATCTAAATTTATATGGCGTTTGTTGTATACCAGCTAGACTTTTATAAAAAAAAAATAATAAACATTAAACAAACAAAAGACAAATGCCAAATTCCAAAACCGGTCAAAATATCGCAATTCTTTTATTTTGTAGGCCACAATAAGAATGTACATTAGGGTGGCCCAAAATGTGTACAAAACGAAATGAAATTTTACGTTCCTAAATATTTCTCGCTTAACACCATATAAGAAAGTATAATCTACATAAATGTGATATATGTACATATATTTTTACACATACATACACATGTACATCATTTTGCACTCAATGCATAAGAACCTATATGCTAGGTATGTATGAACATTAGGGTGGTCCAAAAACAGTAAAGTCGGAAGTGTAACGCTCTCACCCCATGAATTGTTATATATAAAAAAAAGTATACCCCTATTTTTTTTTTAAATCAAAAAATATATAGAGGTCGCTCAAAGCGCTCAAAGTTTTCCATGTATTTTTATATGTGAAAAATAAATTTTTTCGTAGAAATGGTATAGAATTCTTGAAAGTCATTATTTATCGGTCGGAAAACTCTGGTTCTCTTCAGGAGACTTTTAATAATAATACCAAATTGTGTATTTAACCATTTTTTAATACTAACGATTATATTTGTCGCCCCAACGATTTATCGGTCGCCCCATTGCCTTTTTCGGGGTTTTTGTGGGTTTCTGGCGGACCTATGAATTATAGTTGCAATGAAAATATGGTTAAATAAACAATTGGGTATTATTACTCCTGCAGATAAGCAGAGTTTTCTGGTACAAAAATATTGATTTTTAACTATTGTATACCATTTCTACGAAATGTTGTTTTTCCCCATATAAAATACATGGAAAACTTTAGGCGCTTTGAGCGACCTCTAAATATTTTTTGATTTCAAAATAAAAAAATAAGGGTATATTTTTTCGGTATAGAACAATCCTAGGGAGAGAGCATAAAAATTCCGACTTTACTTTTTCACATGCATTTTGGGGCCACCCTAATGTACATTCTTATTGTGGCCTACAAAATAAAAGAATTGCGATATTTTGACCGGTTTTGGCATTTGGCATTTGTCTTTTGTTTATTTAATGTTTATTATTATTTTTTTATAAAAGTCTAGCTGGTATACAACAAACGCCATATAAATTTAGATCTCAAAGTTTGTACAAAAATTAGAAAAATTCAGCATATGTTCACCAAAATTTCAAACTTTTTAATCAGAATTTTGGTGTGCAGTTTTGTAGGCCATTTAATTCGAGTATAATAAAGTGCAAGTTTCAAGCTGCTATAAAATCTAGTTAATTTTTAGCAACTTTTTTTGCTGGCAGTGTCCTCTATATAAAAGAAAATTGTCGAACATACCTTTGTATGGAAAAAACGTGAAACACCTTCAACAAAAAAATTAATTTTTGTGAGCTGTCTGCAAATGTTTTTTGATGTTGGCTCTTGTCTGTCGCTTCACCTGAATATATGAAAAGAAATTCCAAATAATCGGCAAAGAATCGGCGAAAAAACGCCGATGCCGATGCTCAATTTTGTGCCGATACTAGCCGATGCCGGTTAATCGGTCGGACTCTAATTATATTCCCTTATTGTTAGTATACTAGACTGAAGTGCTTTTCTTGAAGGAAGCATATGTATAGATACAAATTCATACATTTTAAAAACGTGTAATTAGGGATTTTTTTTAAAACAGTGGAATACTAACTACTTTGCGTGAAAAAAGGCCTACATTATTTTTTTGTTAGTAAGTTACTACCTGTAATTATATTTGTGGTGAACGCGAAGCAGGTAAAATTTAATTTTTGCTGAATCATTATGCTTCGACTAACATTTTCGCCTTTCGAGATAACACGTTGCAAAGCAGCTCATATATATGAGGTGCACTCCAGAAAGGCAATCTAAGCAACCCCACAATTTTTTTCATACCAAGCTGTTCATTAGGGAAGCTTGTATAAATTATATGCACCAAAGATTCGGTTCGAAAGTAAAAGCCGTGTAAAAATCTGTTCGGCCTCTCCAGTATTGCCAGAAGTGAAGATTTATCTTCAAAATTAAGATATTTTTCATAAATAATGAGAAAATTCTTCACGTGAAGATAATTATAACAAAATAAAACTCCATAAAAAAATCTTCGCAGTGAAGATATCTTCCAGCGCTTGAAAATTTATTTTTTTTTGTGATGGTTGGCAACAAACTTTTCGTTTTTGTCATCAATTTACCTTGCACGACAGGTAGATATTAATATTGATTTTTATGAATATGATTGATTTTGTCTGTCAAAATTCGTGCTCAAACTCGGCTTTGTGTAGCTCACACTCAGTTGTATGAATTTCCACAAGATAAAAAGTATGGATCGCTATTTGTTATAACAAAAAGGTAAGTAATTTTTATTTCTAAATTTAAATTAACAAATCAAATTTTCTATAATTAACTTTATAGAAACATCATCATCTAGCGAGGATGCATGCGCAGATGCGGAGAGTTTTTTCCCAAATAAACTT